GTTGACACGTGTCTCTTGACATGTCTCTTGACACGTTACTCTTCTCAACAGTCCCGTTCTGTTCTTGTCTTTGATGCCCCACCACTAAACAGTTTCCTGGTTGAATGTTTCCATTATCTCGTCACTGCATTGGGTGTGTGGGAACAGTGCCCAGGGCATGGAGCTGCTGCTGGTGGCCGTGGTAGAGGCTGCCACAGGGAACCACATGGTGACAGCAGCTGAGGAGGCTGAAGGTTCATGGACCACAGCCTCAGCTGTGACTGTGGGCGGAGGCACGGCCAGGTGGCAGACGGTGAGCCCAGTGGCCACCAGTAGCTCTTTTTGCTTTGACCTCCCCTATTAAAATAGTTAGCAATGGGCTGCCTGTCAAAGTGTGGTCCAATCCATGCAAGAATTCAGTGGGCCATTTCAAAATTCTCAGCGCCGACCATTCGGGATCTTCCCAGGGCACTATTTCAAGGCACAGCTGAAAGGTCAGTGTACTCTCCTTGGGGTTAGATCCCAAATAAGATATACTCCCTCGCTCTCATCCTGTGTCCTGAGGAGAGACCTCGCCAATCAAGGTTTTAAGATAAGATGGTTTCATGTTGGTATAGTGTAACTCACACCGTCTTTCTATGCATGCTTGATTAGATTTATCCTTCTTGAAAAATGTAACTCCTTCCCTGGGCAAGCCCCTTGTGGGGTAAGGAGTCAGGGATGGGATTCAGAGAGAGACCAGTTCTTAGCACCATCTCCACCTGAGACAGTGAGAATCGGATTCTTWCAGACAACTCTTAGGCCCTGCCTCCATTTATGGAAAAGGCCAGGATCTCAGGTGGGAAGTTTCAAAACCTGGGAAGGCAAGCAGGGRTACTTCCAGAGGATGTGTCCCATTTCCAGGCAGAAAGAAGGGGATAATGGAGGCATATAGAAGGCTGCATCCCAAGATGATGGTGATTCCTGGCAAAGTGTCCTGAAAGGGCGAAGGTGAATCAGGATTGACACTTGCCCTCAGGGGGTGTATTCAACCAGTACAGATCGCTGCAGTTGTCCCACTGTGAAAGGGTGAGTCCCTGAGCACCCCTTCATGACCCCRGGAGCCCCAAATCTCTCCAACATAAAGCAGAGGCACAGCATTCCTGTGGCCAGAGCCCCATGCCTTGCCTTGCACCTGCTCCAATATTTCTAATGTCCTCTGCCTATCATGATGGGTCATCAAAACTGTTAATCTGGTTTGTTTTGGAAGCAGATATCTTCTAAGAACTTCAATCTATATTATTATATATATATATCTAAATTTTTAATATGCTCAATGGATATTAGCTATTGCTATTGTTGATTGTGATGGTGTTCCTTATTTTAGACCAAACCTGTCATTTAAGGGTGGTGACMATCGGACCTGGTCTGTTGATATTTTCTTCTGTGAATTTCCTCAGCTTCATATTCAGTTTCAATCTCCTTATCGGGCTGATTTGCATCTTTCAGTCCCCACACCATTTCCTGCGAAATCTGACCTCAGATTATATTGATATTGGTGGGGTGTTTTGTTTTGCTTTTTCTAATTTAAATAGCATGACCTTGGGCGTCTTTGTCTGCAAAAAACTAGACTTCCTGCGAGAGAATTAATTAGAGGGCAGCCTCCCCTGGCCCTGACAGGGGGTCCTCCTGGGAGGGGCACTCCTGGCTTCAGTGCAGGCTCAGCGGTGCTGGGTGCTGCCCTTCACCCAGGTCCCTGGTAGTGGCAGCTTCTGTAGGGCCTTCTCTCCCATCTTCCTTCACCCCCAACACCTTTTCCAGGTCAACACGGGGCTGTCCTGGGGGTCAGAGTTGTCCATGCACAGCCCTCTTCCCCTGTGCGGTCCCTCCTCCTTGCACGGCGAGGGGGTCAGGGGTGGCAGGGGACTTGCTGGCATTTGAGCAGCCTCCCTCCCCATCGTTGGATCCGGTACAGCTTCCCCATCATTTCTTCCCACCGCATCTCAGTCACCTGCTCTCTTGGTCTGGTTCAGGCTCCCACTGATTGGGAGCAACAGATTTGGGACTTGATCCCAGGAGTCCCTTCCCTGGGAGGATAGTCTTCTTCTCAAAATGAAAGACCCTGGAATCTTTCTCTTCCTTCCTCCTCTGTTGTGCCTCATTTGTGAGGATTATTCTTGGGGTGCCCAACAGTCCCCCCCACACACCTCACTCCCCCACCGCACTCCCTGGCTCTGCGCTGGCTCCTTGGAGATGGTCAGGTTGTCACACTGGCAGTGTGGGTTTTCCACCACTAGGTGGCACAGTGCCTAGAGAACGAATGAGATGGTTTCTTTTCCTTATTTGTACTTTAATAGCTTTATTATTATTTTTCAAGCTAGTTTGAGTGTTTGGTTTGGTTTATAAAACTGAMAATCTCTTATTCTCATTTTCTGGAGTGCAATATCTTAAKTAGACACTAGAGAGAAATTTATAGRTCTTAAGARTTAGAAGAATGRTGTATTCTAAAGCATAGTATCAAGTCGAGGCAAAATTTTTAAAAAAGTCTACATCTCAAGTGTTTCTGTGGTGATTTATGTTGGATATCTCTCTGGCTTATTTTTATACTCCAGCCTGATTTGATGAGCTGGTTCCAAACTGCTTTATACTGCTTGTRTTTTAAAGTTTATTCAAACATCAAGCATTAAAAAGTATACTTGGAGTTGTGAAAACTCTTTCTAAAGGATTTGCAGAATCAGACCAACTAAAATCACAGAGTGAACAGTTTTCTTAATTTTTATCAGTGGTGAAACGTCTCCCAAAAGTGGGCCATGATTTTTAGCATATTGACTGCACATGAAAACCTGAACAAAAACATGCACATTACATATTTTGAGTCTGGCTATAAATTGACAGAGTCAGATGAAATCACTGTGTATTTTCCCTAGGTACTTAAAAAAAACTTATATTGCTTTAATTTGCTTAAGATCAATGTCTTTCAAATTATAAGTGACCTTTTCAATATCTTTGGAAGAAATTTGCTAAACTTTACAAAACAAAAACATTTGTCCRATTTGTGAACATTTATGGAACACCACCTCTGCATATATCTTGGCATATAAAGAGCAACATTCTTTTCTATTTTCTTAACTTTTAAAATAAATGAATATTTCTCCCTAGTAACTGTTGCATCAGGACATAGTACAGAGATGTATATATCCTTGGAAAAGTTTGCAAAAAATAAACCATAAATGTTAACTTTCTAAAGCAGAGGAATATCCTAGTAAAGTGGTGGTAATGTGGTGGCTTTAACATCTAAAGTATGTTTCTTTTGATTTTTTTTTTCATCATACTAGTTGCCTAGGATGGGGTTATCTTAAAGCCACGGTCTATATTTACAGGTRTAATTACTTTTCTTTTGCAATTGTATCCCTATTCCTCTCAAGGAAACCTTATTTATATACAGTGAATTGAAGCAAGAGACCACATTCCTAAATGATTCCTGGGAAAAAGCCAGAAAATCTTGRTTGAAGGTCAGGGCTAAGGCATGCTTAACAAACAGGTAGAGAATTTCCCACAGGAATTGCYCATATTCAGCCTGAAAGGACTGTGGTCTAAACTTAACTCATCTTGGAATGCAAAAGTGGAAAAAGGAAGAAAAGACAGGCTATGAAACTACAGAAGAGGAAACACTACAACATCAAGTACAATCTAACATTTAATACCAACATATGTTGCTTTTAAACTCATGATTATTAAAATGAAGATGGAGAATGGTTTGCAATTTAGAGGTATCAAATAATGTATATTCCATCATTCATTTATGGGATTCAGTAGTTCATCAATACTAATTTAGTGTCTAGATGCAAAACAATACAGACTTGCACAAGAAAGAAAATGCTCCTGTGCTCTTGGAAGAGAAAGAAAATCACTAGATTATTTTAAAAAGCACTAAAGAGAGATTAAGTGCTGAGAAAAAATATACTGAAATCAATATATAAAAAGGATTAAACATTATGAGCAAGTGTAAAGATGCAAGTTATTCTGGGAACAAAGTTTGAATTCACATTTGACAGTCAATAAATATAATTCACCATATTAACAGAATATAGCTGAAAAACACATCATCTCAAAAAAAAAAGATGTTGTCAAAATTCAACACCTATTTGTCATAAAGGGAACTACTTCAATTTAATAAAGACAAAGCACTAAATGCTTTTCTAAGATGATAATAGAACAAGTATGTTTATTCTCACTTCTATTCAATATTTGAATAGAGATCCCAGCCATTGCAATAAGGTAAGAAAAAGAAATAAAAAGCATGTAGATTAGAAAGAAAAATTAAAACTATCTTTATTTTAGATGACATTAACAAAAAAAGTGGGGAATCATAAAATTTACACAAAAAAGCTCACAGAATAAATAAGAAATTTTAGAACTCTTGCAATGAGTAAGAGAAACTTAAAGAAAAAAACTATTGTATATCCAAAATAATTGGAAAATAAAATTTCCATCTACTATAGTATAAAGAATCAAAAATATGTAAATYTAAACAAAACATGAATTATACATGGGAAACTATAAAACATTGCTGAAAAAGATTAAAGATCTAAATACGCAAAGACATATGCCACATTTATGGATTAGAAAATGTAATACTATTAAGCTATCAATCATTCCCCCAAAGCAATCTRTACATTTAATGCATCCCATCCAAAACTCCTTGCAAGGTTTTTATGGAAATTGACAATTTCATTCTAAAATTTATTCAGAAAAGTAAAGAAACAAGAATAACCAAGGCAATTCTGAAAAAGAACACGGTTGGGAGTCTACGTGTGCAGAAGTCCTGCTAGTCTGGTCCTTGTTCCCATCTGGGTACCAACTCCCTTCKGCAGTGCAGGTGGCAGCGCCGCAGGCCAGCGGAAGGACTCAACTTGCTGGAATTTTGCAGGTCTGTTAGAACCTTCCGAGGCCATAAAAGTAGGAGAAAGAAGCAGACCAGATCAATACTAGTAACTGCATTCAAAGAGGAATAAGCAGGAAAGAAGAAAGAGAGGCACAAGATGAAACCGTGTCAGAAAATTGAAGAAAAACCAGACAATGAGAATGAACCAAAGCTGGAGGAAGAGCCAAAGCCTGAGGAAAAGCCAGAGGAAGAGGAAGAACCAGAGGAGGAGGAAAACGCAGAAGAAACTTTTAGAGAAAGGCTGATTCAATCTCTCCAGGATTTTAAAGAAGATATACATAACAGGCATTCCAGCAATGAGCATATGTTTAGGGAAGTGGATGAAATAGATGAGATAAGGAGAGTAAGAAACAAAGTTATGGTGATGCATTGGAAGGTCAATAGAAACCATTCTTACCCTTATTTGATGTAGTTTACCTTCATAATTGGACAGACCAGCTGCTGGTCTGTCCTCACTCCAAGCCCAAAACAATTCTCAAATGTCTCCCATCATAGGAATGAATCTGTGCTCTTCAAATCTGAATGCCAGCACTGTAAATTAGCCCAGTTTTCACAATCAAAATGGCAATTTATTCATAGTGTGTTGACACAGCACTCATCACATAAATTAAATTTTTGGAATTAAATGCAGAATCAGTGAATCCTAAAATAAAGACAATGCAGAGACTCAGGGAGCTGCATGTGAACATCTTTTTGTCTGGTCCCAACTTGTTCCAGGCTCCTTGGACCTACTCAAAGTCTGTGTCTTCAGTTTCCGGCATTAAGTTCTATCCTAGACACAAAAGAGTGAAACCTGTTCCCCTTCAAACTAGGTCTGGGAACCAGGAAGTTCAGTTGTGAGTTCCCTGCCCCTGAAGGGAGAGCGCTGGCCCCAGGGGCTCCCCTGGAAGGCCAGGACGGGGAGAAGCCAAGTAGCCAGAGCCAGCCTCTCGAGCTACAGCTCTCTGCTGCTGGTTGGATGGCAGTGGAGCTGCTCAGGAGAGGGGATGCCAGGCTCAGGGATTCCAGGAGGAGGAAAACCTCCATGGGAGATGGCAGATTGTCACTTCCTTGTTCCCTGTGGGTAAATGTCATTCATACCTTTGATCCACTCAGGATAGAGAGTCGTGTGTGAGTGACCAACCTCCTTTACATACGCTTCAGCAGTCAAGCAGAGGCCTCTCCCCAAAGAGGTCACCCAGTAGGACAATTCCTTTACCCATCTCTTCTGATGCAAGGCCAGGGACACATGTAGAGTCGATTTCATGCCAAACATTTGCAGGAAACAAAGGAGGTAAATAAACTTGCCCAAACTTCCACACTTTATCTGTAACGTTGCAGTATTAATGTCCCATAGGAGGTNTTTACCTTCATAATTGGACAGACCAGCTGCTGGTCTGTCCTCACTCCAAGCCCAAAAACAATTCTCAAATGTCTCCCATCATAGGAATGAATCTGTGCTCTTCAAATCTGAATGCCAGCACTGTAAATTAGCCCAGTTTTCACAATCAAAATGGCAATTTATTCATAGTGTGTTGACACAGCACTCATCACATAAATTAAATTTTTGGAATTAAATGCAGAATCAGTGAATCCTAAAATAAAGACAATGCAGAGACTCAGGGAGCTGCATGTGAACATCTTTTTGTCTGGTCCCAACTTGTTCCAGGCTCCTTGGACCTACTCAAAGTCTGTGTCTTCAGTTTCCGGCATTAAGTTCTATCCTAGACACAAAAGAGTGAAACCTGTTCCCCTTCAAACTAGGTCTGGGAACCAGGAAGTTCAGTTGTGAGTTCCCTGCCCCTGAAGGGAGAGCGCTGGCCCCAGGGGCTCCCCTGGAAGGCCAGGACGGGGAGAAGCCAAGTAGCCAGAGCCAGCCTCTCGAGCTACAGCTCTCTGCTGCTGGTTGGATGGCAGTGGAGCTGCTCAGGAGAGGGGATGCSAGGCTCAGGGATTCCAGGAGGAGGAAAACCTCCATGGGAGATGGCAGATTGTCACTTCCTTGTTCCCTGTGGGTAAATGTCATTCATACCTTTGATCCACTCAGGATAGAGAGTCGTGTGTGAGTGACCAACCTCCTTTACATACGCTTCAGCAGTCAAGCAGAGGCCTCTCCCCAAAGAGGTCACCCAGTAGGACAATTCCTTTACCCATCTCTTCTGATGCAAGGCCAGGGACACATGTAGAGTCGATTTCATGCCAAACATTTGCAGGAAACAAAGGAGGTAAATAAACTTGCCCAAACTTCCACACTTTATCTGTAACGTTGCAGTATTAATGTCCCATAGGAGGTYCCTCTGAGCCCCTAGCTGTTAAGAATGGCCARAGTGTCTGATTTCTTGCATCTGCTATAATATGCTTTATGTTGTACACTTACCTTTCATCTGCTGGTCTCATCCCACTTCACAAGATCTTCTGCAAGAGAAGGATCTGATCTAACTCATCTCTGTCTCCCCAGTGGCTGGTATGAGGTGCTGAGCTATGGCCTACCAGGTGAATGCATGGGTGCACATAAAAAGTAGACCCAGAGAAAGGTGTTTTCCCTACACAACATTTAAATACCTAATACACCCTACTCTAACCCCCATAAAATAARCTAACAGGATCTTCCAGTAATGTTAATATTTGCAAAACAAACGTTTAATGGTTAATCCATTAAAGAGGAGGAAAAGTGAAAAATTTGTCCATAAACCAGTCAAATAYGGATCTCATCCCATCACTATCCCAACCCTAAATCTGCTGGGTCTTTGCCTCTGTATTTAGTAGCTCCTCATTATTCTGGGACCCCACCTGCCACCAGACCACATGACCTTGGGTGATTCCCCCTCAGCCCTTTCTCTTTAAGCCTCCACAGGCCGGATGAACCATCAGGTAAGACACCTGCCTGGCGAAGTCCATGGGAGGTACCTGCCAAGATGTCCAGTTCCTTTCTTCTACTTGTGGTAACTGACAGGGGACAGAGCTGAATGGGATGGGCAGAGGGACACAGGCACCATCAGACCAGAGTGGAGCCTGGGCCCTGCTAACCTACCCTTCCTCAGGTGCCCTGCGCGTCATGGTTGGTGGGGTGGGAGGCACAGCCTACAGCTCCGACCTGCCGTGGCCTTAGGACGGAGGGTCTTCTCTCCTATTTTATTTGTGTCCGTATTTCATAATGACCACAGCAGGAAGGAGCCTTCCAAATACAGTCAGGCTGCCCATCCCCTGTCTCCTGCCTCGTCTGGTTGTGGTGGGACCAGCAGAATCACGGTCGAACCTGCCTGGCGCCATCTTCACGCCAGGCTAATGCAGGAAGTTGTTATTTCAAGATAAGGGAAACCGCAGTCCACTCCCTTCCCCGTGRTCCGGTGGAGTCTGGGAGCTGCTTTAGCCTGTGGAGGGTTGGGCCTCTGCCGCCGGAACCGAAGGCAYCTGGGCTCAGGCACCTTGCAGCTACAGGCTCAGGCGGTGCTTCCGGCTTCCAGGAAGAGGGCAGGTTCATGAGCATGGACCTAGAAGGGCCTGCTGTGACAGAGGGATAATCAAATAGCAGCAGGAAGCTAAGGAAGAAAGGGGTCATTTTAAAACAACCACAAAGACTTGAAAGCACAGAGGATAGACTGACGGCTGCCTGGGATCAGCCGTAGAAGGACAGACGGGATCTCTGGGGATGACAGAACCGTTCTAAACTGAATTGTGGCCAGCGGCACATCTTCGGAAATGTACCCAAATCACTGAATTACGCACTTAAAAGGAGTGGAGCTATGGCATGTAAAGTGCCCCTCAGTGTGGCCTAATAGGCTCCAGTCTTCACCTGCCTCTTCTTCTGGCCTCCTCCCCACCACATCCCACACCCCCTCTCCTCCTGCTAACCAAACTGCTTTCAGCTCCCAAACACAGCTGCCCGCGCGCTCTCTCTCCCTTGGCTGCTTCCATGGGAAGCAGTCCCACCCTCCCTGTCTTCCCGACTCCTCCTTAATGAGTCGGTGCATTTGTCACGTCCTCTGCAGTGCAACTGAAAAGGGCCCAGATGCCACAGGGGGGCTTTGCCAGCTGTGAGTGGGCTGTGAGTGAAGCCCTCTTTCCTGGGTGCACCTTCCCTTGGAGGGGCTCGCTAACCACTGTTCCTCCCAGGTGGGGTCCTGGTCTTGGAGACGCTGTCCACCTTTCCTCCCTTCCCGAGTGGAATCCAGATGCCACTTCATGGCCAAGACCAGACTAGAACCGCGCAGGGAGGTGGCACCATCAAGGAGGAGCACTGGTCCACACAGGTCCGGCAGCTCACTTCTGTTTGTGCCCTGCGCTGGGGCTCTCCAYCTGGTGCCTGTCTCTTGACTTTGCCCCCAGCCTGCCCCACGTGGCAGGTTCCACCTTTCCCTCACCCCCAGGGCCACTTGGGCAGAACCCTTTTGATCCAGATAAAGGGATTAAGGCACAGAGTGGCAACAGTCCTCTCTCCTGTGAGCACAAAGCTCTTTTCCATCTTCCCTTTTCCTGCCTGAAGACTGGCCCCACCCCTCAGGCCTCCAGGAAGGCCACGTGTCCTCCTCATGGGAGGGTGATGGCCTYGCCTGAACAGTCCAACCAGGCAACCAGAGCAGAACCAGCTCCAGGGGTGCAGGATGGCAGGAGCCGASCCCTCCCATCACCTCTGGGTGGCAGAAGAGAGTCTTGCTACCCATGGCCCTGAGCTCCTGGCTCACTTTGTAGTGCTCTCTAAGCCTTTTTTACTTTTTTTTTCCATTCCACAAATATGTCCTGAGTAACCTCTGTGTGCCAGAACCATGCTGKGGGAAGGGAAAATAAAACAATCAAGAGCAATGAAGTTCCTGGCCTCTTGGAACTTCCATTCRAATGGGAGGAGTGAGACCATGATAGACAAGATCCTAGAGATTTCTCTAAGACAGCAGCTCCACTGGGCTGCCCAGCAGAAAGCCGTGGGGAGCAGCCAGATGTTCCGATGCCCAGCACATCCCACTCATCAGGCCAGAACCTCCAGGTGGTTCTTGGGCATCAGCATTTATAAAACTCCTGAGAACCATGGTCTGCTGAACCCTTGAATTCAGAACCTACAGATAAAAGGGACTGATTGCATTCATAAAGATCAGAAATCTGTTCCTAAAACAGAAATAACCCAGTAAACTCATCAATGGCTCCAGGAACCTATGGCAAGTCCAGTCTACCAGGTCCTGGGGGTGGATGAGTTCAACTGTGGAGCTGGGATGTTTTAGATAAATAAAAGTTAAGAGTTCATCCAAGGGTCCAGGCAGAGAGTGCCTTGCCAGAAGCAAGACTGGTCCAAGACAGATCTTGCCTAGTTTGTCAAGTTGAACACAAGAGCATTGTCAAGAGTGAGCCCACACGAGATGGGAGTTCAGCAAGACTTTCTCAGAGGACAATAGTGGACTCCATTGTTCGGACAATTGGAGTCACACAATGAATACAGGGAGACTAGTGTTCTCCCCACTCCAGGGCCCTCAACAGGTCTTGACGGATCATTTCTCACTTAGCCTTCTCAATCAATTACCTTCCTAACACAGGCCACATTATAGTTTATTATATGAAACCAAGACTTTGTAATATAAATGACTGTAGGGATGGTAAAGTGGCAAGTGGCAAGAGGTAGGATGCCCCTCRGCTTTCTGTCACTGTGACAAAATACCYGAGAAAACAAACTRCAGGGAGGAAAGATTTATTTTGGATCATGATTTCAGAGGTTGGGTCCCTAATTKCTTGGTCCTATCCCTTTGAGCTTGAGGTGAGGCAGAGCATCATGGTGGGGAGATTGTAGCAGAGCAAAGCCGCTCACCTCATGGTGGCCTGGAAGCAGGGAGGGAGGAAGGAGCTGGGGACAAAATAAATCCTCCAAAGGCATGGTCCCCTCAGCTGCTTTCTCCAGCTAAGCCCCCCTCCTCAAGTCTCTGACAGCACCATCCACTGGGGATCARGCCTTCAACCCACCAGCCACTGGAAAGTCATTCCAAATCCAAATTATCTGAAAGAGAGCCAACAGTGCGCACCTCTTTCCAACCCCACATTCCCTAACTTCACATTGGCAGCTACAGTCAGCCATGGTGGGAGTATTTACACCAAGGAAAGTGGTAACTGCTCCACAGCAGGGCTTTACTATACCCCTTCACCAGCCCAGAGACAGGTATCAAAGATACTCAGGACACCCAGCAAAACTTGAATTTTCAATAAAAATCAGTAATCCCTTATGATAAGCAAATGGAACAGCTGAAATTCAAACTTGCTGGATGTCCTGCATTTTGCTTTGCAAATCCAGCAACCTCACGCAGAGAGCCAGTTGACGTGTACCACACAGCCATGCTCCTAACCACTAAACTCTTTGTCATGAACACTTACKCAAAATGTACCAGAGCAGTCAACCWATGCATCAGGATCTTAAATTSAGGCATCTAGAGACCTATTTGGGGATCCTACTGAAAATGTGCATCCGTTGGCCTTACCTGAAGGTTAGTGTCTGGCATACTATTTCTCCAAATCCAGGAACCCAAGCTCATCCATACTTCAGAAAAGCATCTCAGGCTCTGGGGATGGATCATAAATGCAACAGAGACCACCGACGCAGGGCTCTCACAGTCTGCTCTCAGACAGGCGTCGACCCAGGTATTGACTGGGGCAGCTTTCTTGAGAAGGAGAGTGTGGGGCCAGACAAAGGTCTCCGACTAACCCGTCAGTAAGGGGCTGGAGGAGATCCCCATTCCTGACCCCCGTGCCTGTTAAAATCAGCTGGCCCTCCACAGGGACAGACTCTGTCTTAGAGGGACAGCGCTCATCAGAATGGCTAGCAAGAACCCAGCAGAATTCTGGTGGAGGAAAAGAAGAAGTGCATGTGCGATTATTTCTCTTCCAGACCTTTAACTTCCCCAGATAATAACCTGCCCCTGCAGAGAGACAGAACCACATCAGACGTGGCTTCTGACACCTCSGTGTAGGAATGGACTCTCCCAGAGGGCTCCAGGTGAGTGGCCTCCTCTGCTCTGGTGTCCCGCCCTTCTGGGTTGGCCTCCCCAAAGAAGCTCCYGAAGGGCACAGCTGACCTTGGTCCTAGGTAACTTTTGGAGTGACCCTGCCTGAGCCTGCATCTCCTCAACTCTATGACACAAGGACCTGGGTGAGGAAGCTCGGTGCCAGGACACTTTGATTGCCAGGAAGGAAGAGAGAGGAGACTTGGGCTCGTAAACCAGTCGATAGAGGCAGACTGGACAAAGCAGGATCGAATCCCAGCCAAGGCCCTCTGCTGGGTGACCCCACAGCTGTCCACATTGAGGTCACCCATCTTCTGATCCCTCACAAGTATCAGCCTAGAGGATTCCCGTGGCAGATTCCTGTCCCAAATTCCTAAGCATGAGATTCATGGGGAGAGTGTGGGGGGATTCGTGAAAGTTCTGGGGAGGGTCTGGGAGTCAGCATTTCTTGGGAGACGCTGCTGCCGTGGCCCAGGGACATATTTTGCCCGGCACTTCTTATCCAGTGCYCCCGCCCATAGAGTCACAGCTTGGTTTTTCTTGGACCAGACAACCATGGGCCTCGCCTGGGAACTTGTTAGAGGGACATATTTTTAGGTCCCACCCCAGACCTACAGAGTTAGACCCTTCATTTGCACCAGACTCCTGGGAGATTGATGTGCACGTTAGCATTCCAGAATCACTGGCCTGGAAGATGCTTCCTGGAGTGTGATCTGTCCAGAGCCAGACCTCGCTTTTGTGGAAGAAAATCAGTATGGACGAGATCCTGAAATTTGATTAAGTTTCTCTTCCAGACCTTTAACTTCCCTCTAAGTTTTGCTGGAGTGTGGAGCTGGAGTGTACCCCAAAGGCCCACGTCGAGGCGAAGGCGGGGTCACAGCCATGGTGCTCCTGGGAGGGGTGGAGCCTTGAGGGGGTGGAGCCTGGTGCAAAGACCTTAGGTGACTGCGGGTGTGCCCTTGAARGGGTGCTGGGCCCCAGCCCCCTCCTGCCTTCTCTTTTTGCTTTCTGACTACCACGAGGCCAACCAGCCTCCTCCACCCTGTGTTCCTGTCCTGAATCACTGTGCCACCGCAGACCCTAAGCAACAGAGCCAAATGACCCTGGCCTGAAACCATGAGCCCAAAAGACCTGCCCTCCTTTTAAGTTGTTCTTCTCAGGTCTTTTGTCACAATGAGGGCATCTTGGTTAGTAATGGACCACACGGTCCAGCAGGGGGAGCCAGAGCCCCGGGGTGGCGGCAGGGCTGCTGTGGGCAGSGCGGGGAAGCCCTGTCTGCTGTCCCCTTTTCTGTTAAAAGTGTATGACTTGTTCACACACAAACACACACTTCTTGACGGTCATGATAAAAATAAGTTGGAAAACCTACTTAAATAAGGTGGAAACTTAAATAAGGATAGGAAATTAAGAAAATTTGAAAGAAAAGATTTTAGAGTCACGTAGAAGTATCRTTTTATGAATGTGTGTGTTTTTGTGGAATTTGAGAAAGTGTCTTTCCTACATGGGGTAGGGCGGAAGCCCCCTCTTAAACCACACGTGGAAAGCATCACTCATAAGGGGGAAGGTTGATCAATGAGACTGGCAGAGGACCGCTGGCCTCTTCTTCATCCAGATGACCTCCTGGCCACCTTGCCATGCCCTTCTCCTCCCTGGGCACCAGCATGCCAGGATGCGGTAAGGGGTGCCCATTTCCCCCCAGGGGGCACTTGATGCCTGAAACACAGACCTCACAATAGCTCCCAGGTGGCGGTTATGATGCTATAGGTGCTGGCAGTGTCCCTGGGTTCCCATTAAACTTTCATGGAGACAAACCCCAGGCGTTAACACCTCCCATCCTCACTTGTTAGAGCATCCCTGAAGAATGGGAGATCCGCTGTCAGAGGATGGGAAAACAGAGGACTGGACATCAGGGGCCCAAGAAAAGAAGACTGCAGAGGAGACATCGCCTAAGAGGGATGGAAAGTCGGTCAGAACCCTTAGTGCCCCCTATTCCTTCCCAGAGTGTTGCCAGGAGCACCCGCCTTGTCAGGAGGACCCATGTCCCACATGGCCCTCGGGGTGAGTACTCCCAGCCCCTTCACAGGGGGCTCTGATGGAGAGCGGCCCTCTGTGGGGTCTCCCACTCTGAGAGGGCAAACTGGAAGGTCGCTGTGCAGGGCTCTAATGCACCCGCCTCTCTGCCTTCCAGGATATGGAGCAGATTCTACAAATTAGACCCGCGCATCGCCTTCGGGAAATACTCCCCCATGGAAAAAGAGATCCTGGTAAGTGTCCTGAAGTCCACACAGAGGGGGGCCCTCAGAAGCCAGCGGTTGGGATTGGGGGACCCCACGGTTCAGTAGAGAGTTCTCCCCCAGTGTGCTTGACCTGGTGGCGTCCACAGGTGGGTTTGGATTCCGCACTCACCCAGCYAAGTACCCTCTTATTTAAAAATCCCAGTGAGGAATGTGACCGTGAGTGGTAAGGGCTACSAGGACTGATGCTTCTTGACCTCTCGCCCCCCAATGGTCGCGTTCATGTACGTCTCCTCTGGAGGCCTCCCACCCCCTCTGCGGATTCTGAGTTCCTAGGAGCTAAGAGCAGAGTCAGGATGGAACCCGGCTGGTCCTCCACTCTCCAGGGGCTCCGGCGCTTTCCGAGTGCAGGGAGAACAAGCCGGGGTGCCCTCTGTGGGGGCCACCTGCCCTGTGCCCAGAGATTTTACCAGCCCCTTCCGTTGCCAGCGTCTAGGTGGCATCCACACTATGGCAGCCAGAAGGCTTTTGGCTTTTAAAAAAGAGGAAGAACACAAGATGCTGAGGGAGCTGCAGTTGCAGTCCCCAGACTACATACAGGTGGCGCCCTGTAAGAAACACACCTCTGGCAAGGTGCGCGCACCCCTGGAAAGAGTGTGGACGGCAAAGGTGATCGTACCCTCTGAGGAGTTTCAGATGCCCCCGCGGGAGAAGGTCAACATCAGCAAGCACATAGAGCGGATGCAGCTGGCTCGAGCCCTCAGCAGCAAGCACCTCTTACCCTGCGTGGAACGGTTCCGCGGCTCCATGTTTCCATCCGGAGGMGGCCTGGGTCCCCAGGCAAAAGATAAGGCCTGGAAAAAGGGGGACAGCTATGACAGTTATTACCATGACCATATCAAGGAGCAAAACCCCACAAAGAGACACGAAATAAAAATGAACGTTATTTTCAAGTCAGAAGAACCCAAGAGATGCATAGCCTGCCATCGACATGACCGCCAGCCTTTCCTCACCATAAGAAAACTGGAAAGATGCATTACGGGCCAAACGAACCGAAACCGCCTGAGCTTAGCGGAATTCCCGGGAGACCTCATGCTCATGACCCAGGACTTTCTATCCCAGGGAACCCACCCTGCAAAGTGACCGAGACCTCAGAGACCCCAAGGAGCACAACACAGCGCTGTTCCCTGTCCGTATTAAAGTTTTATTTATTCCCTAGGGTGACCAGGTGTCCTGGTCCTTATTTCTCCTGCACACTAGGCCCCAGGCTCCCTCTCACCTGGCCTTTTTTCAGGGCCTTGGCTTCCCCTGCCCCACCTCCAGGGGATCCTAGGAAGACCTAGTTGTTGGGACTTCCCGGTTTTTAGCAACCCGGGTCCCTTAGCTCCCACCTCACTAGCAGCCCGGCTCAGCTCTCTGCCACCTCTTTCTCCTCTGGGGCTTGTATCAATGACCTATTTCTGTAAAACAAATTGATCCAAAATTTGGTGGCTTCAAACAACAGCCTTTAAGTTAGCTTATCATCTTGTTGGACAACACAGTAGGCTGGGCTCAGCTGGGTGGTGATTGTGGTCTCAGCTGGGTTCCTTCTGAGTCTGCGGTCAACTGCAGGCTAGTTACATGGCTGTCCATCTGGCAGCTGAAAAACGATCAGCTAGGTCAGTGGAGGCACCTGGGCCACACAACTCCTCCCTCCAGCGGCCTAGCTCAGGCTGTTCACAGTCCATTTGGGGTTCCAGAGGGTAAGTGGAAGTTTGCAAAACCTCTTGAGCTGAGGCACAGAACTGGTACACCATCACTTTTGCCACATTCTGATGGCCAAATTAAGATGACCAGCCCAGGTGCAAGGAGAGGTAAGTGGGCTTTGTCTTGATGGGTGGCCATATTACAAAGGCCATATTCAAAAGGGAGGCAGGCACAGTTAGGATCATTATTGCAAACAATCTACCCCAGAGTCCCTTCAACCAGGACCAGCCTGTAACCCAGATGCAGAAAAGAACAGTATAAAGGAAGGAGCCCCCTAAAAGTTAGAGGTCTTACGGCCTAGACACACAGCTTCTGCCTTGGAAGGTAGAGCCAGCTCATTCCAACCTCACCTCTTGGCTATCCTCCTCTTCACTGCAGCCAGGTGACCCACACTCTCSACTTGTGCTCTTATTTTCACAGATGTTTGGCCATCAATAAAGAGGGCACCGCAGAGAAGGGCTGACCCTTTCAGGTCTGCTATGAGATATGAAAATGGATTCTTAAGGGAGACAAGAAGGGGGAGGCAGAAGTTGGCTAGCCACTTCCCTGTACACTGTGTTACACACACACACACACACACACACACACACACTGCCATGGGACCCTGATCATTGTGCAGTTCCTGAGACAGCTCTCTGCTTCTCACCAGTGATGCACTGAGCCACACTCACAAGTAGCCACCAGCTCAGTCTGCCGCGACCTGCACGCCATCTACAAAGGGTCTCAAGTAGGGGCGACCACAGATGGAAAAAGACACAGAGATAGAAAACACAGAGACATTGTCAAGTAAAGCTGGGGCCAGGTGGGGCACTGCACTCCGATGGAGGAAAGGTGACCCAGGAAGTTAACTACAGAGCATCGTAAATGTTGAGGCTTGTGAGTTATCAAGAGGCTTCTTTGTGCACTAAAAAGTTACAGAGCCAGAGACATTTTTGCAGCTATCCTGCGGCACCCCGGAAGCCCATTGTACTGGAAAGTCTGGTAACTGTTGGGTCAGAGCCAGGGTCAAGGCTGTCCACAGCCTCGTCTTTGGGCAAGGAATGTTTCCCAGGCCTGGCTGTTGCTGACCCTGCAGGATTAGCTGATGACTGGGGCTCACCCCTAGCCACTGTCGGTGACAAAGTCATGTCTAGCACTGCCTTCTTTAGGAGGTGAAAGCCGCACTCCGCTTTCCTCCAGTGATCAAGACGGAAGACAGCTGGCCACTGTCCATGACCTSTTTGGAACTGTTCCAAATGGTGGGCTGTCCCCGCGACATCAGGCCATTTTCCGTATCCTGAGCTATTCAGTGAGAAACTGAAGTGCCCAGTGAACCCTGGACTGTGCAGTGGAACCTGGGGGACAGCCAGAACCTGGACCGCACAGGGGTGGACCTTCAGCCCCTCATGTACCTTCTAGTCAGTTCTGAGTGCCAGGCATATATACGAGGTGCAGCATTTTGTGGCATCTGGAACAAATGAGGATATTTTTTTTTTTCTGAAAGACAAAAAGCTGATGCTGAGTCTCAGCCACACACTGGGTTCTTGAGGAGCATGACACAGTCACTTATCATCTTCATCCGAAGCGMAAGAGGATCCCTCAGTCAATTCTGTCCTCAGCAACTCCTCACAGAGCTGGGAAAACACTGAGCTTGTTCCCAGGGACTGACGGCTCCCTCCAGGCAGAGGAAGAACCACACTCAGCTGACTCTCATTTCTCGGGAGARCAACAGGGGCCGCGGCCTCGAGTCTGGTAAACCACTGGAAGGATTCCTTCYACAGCTACAATGGCCAAGACGATGATTCTTGGGAATGTAGTTTCCAAGATCATCCCTGGATTCTGATTCAAGAACCAGTGTCAACCAAAGGAATGGGCCAGATTTTCCAGAGGCAATGTTAGAAATGTTCAGTGTTGTTCTAACTTCCTAAATATGAATAAAATCGTGAGTATCAAATCATCATCTGGTTTGAGAACACTAGAGACAAACTGGATCCTAAAATTTGCTTAGCATCAGCTATACCATGTAGTAGGAAGTTCTTTGAATGAGACATGGGATCAGAACTAATTCTGCTGCCAACCAGTTGTTTGTGAAAGCGCGGGGTGGGGGGAGGGCTCTCTGTGACTCAACTCCCCTGTCTGTGAAAGGAGTACCCTAAACTAGAACCACGGCTTGCTTCRACGATTCTTTAATTTGCTGTTCTCGATGGAGTTGGTGGTTGACTAAATCCTTGCCCACGCCCCACCATCTACCCAGTGTGGGCACTTATGACCTGAGTGAGTACTGAGCTACAGGAAAGGCACGTGGTGCTGGCGTACACAGGTTTTCACCAAGTCAAATTCTCTGAGATCCTGAAACCACTTATGAGAAKAAACCCACCCCTTTGGAAAAAGAAGGAAAGTCAAGTTTTGCCCCCCTGGCTGTAGTCAAAAACTAACTTGTTGACGAATGTAATGCTAATTCTAGTAAACGTGATTACCTGGAGCCATCCAGAAATAAATCAGAGTTACCCTATGTGTGTATGTGTGGGCCTGCTTTTGGGAAGTATATATGAAAATAAAATTAGGTCCAGATTTGAATTTTTAAAGGCTCTAGAAAATGCCCTATAGTAAGTACATATTCATTCTATCTGCTGATCYTGACTTACATAAAAACATCCAGATGGTAATATCTGATCAAGAGATAAGTGACCACAAGGCCCTGTGCGAATCTTATGCTCTATAGATTATGCTAACGATGATGTGAAATTTAGAAAGCCTTTGGAAATCAGAATTGAAAGTAAAAGAGACTTCTGGGGAGAAGTCATTTAATCTGAACTGTCTAACAATCCCTATTCCCTGAGAATTCAGATTAACAAAGAAGACTAGGGGAACAAGAGATGCATTAAGTTTTTATCAAAGGCCCTGTATTGGTTTATCCAATTGACAGATRAGGTAGATGATATATAGATAGATGGATTATAGGTAAAGATGGTAGATGTTTTGAAGGAAAAAATAATTTATGTTCATTAAGCTTAATTAATGAACATGTTTGTTATTGGAAAACCCAGAACTTCTTTGGACCTCCTTACACTTAGGTTTGGTGTTGGTTTTATTTCGAATTGCTTTTGGAAACAGAACTCATCACTTTTTCCACGCTCAGAGCCTCTAGTTTTAATATGTCCTCACCCAAGACTCATGAGAGGCCCATGAAGTCAAAAGGGTTGTTTGATAATGTGAGGCCTGGAGTGGGTGAACCAGGTGGGTCCAACAAGCTGAAGGGTCCTGGGATGAAGCATGTGACCAGCACTTTGGATGTGTCCAGCCCACGGCTTCTAGGCTGCGCCCACTGCCCTCCCCTGTCACCCTAGACAGCCTGACCTAGCTCCTTCCATCTCACCCTGGACCTCACCCTCCACACATCACCTCTCCACCACGGTGTACAGATGTGAGCGAMTTTTGTAACCACTGCCCAGCTTAGTCATTCCGAGTACCTAGGGCATCGTATGTAATTAGTAAATGATCACATAATTCCATGAGGTGGAAGTTATATTCCTTAAGAGCTGGCACCTGGATTTACCTTAGGGTAAGTGGTCTTTCTTGGGGAAAAATACCTTACAATTTATTTGGGACCAACAGGGTGTAATTTGAGGAATCAATGAACAAAGAAAGAACGGTTAGACTCTTTGCATGTGGAAATGAGAGGGATTTCCTGTTTCCCTTGATAAGAAAGGAAGAACAAGGGAGAGGAAAGAAGAGCTAGGGAGATAGAATCTTTATCCCACTGTGTGGRATAAAGGACCGTAAAAAGCCCTGAGAGGCAAGGAGGTTGCAGGCTTTTGAGACGATGAATGCCTAACATGTCGTTTTAAATTGTTTGCTCTTCAGAGCACAGTGAATCCTCTCTGAAACCCTCATGATCAGAAAAAAAAACAAAACATTCAACTCAGGAGTTCCTTGTCTGAATGAGGTTGGGGGTCTGGTGTTTGGGAATTGAGGAAAGGGCAGAGGTTCACATCCAGCAGAGTTCAGAAGGGAGAGAGCAGGTGTGGATGGAGGAACATGGAGGCTGGTGGTTCCTGAGACTCTGCCCCCTGGTCATCTGCGGAAGTCCGAGGAAGACTTGGGTCTTCAATCAGGGTAAAATCGGGAAGCGGATCTTGCCTTGTAGAGCACTTTGAGGAGCACTGAGCTCAAGCTGCTTTTGGGTTACAGATGAATAAATGAATAGGTGAACAAAATAGAGGTATTTAGAAATGAAGGCAGTTGGACTGCTGGGTCAGGCATGGTTACGTATCACCCAGCTGAGCGTCCTACTCAGCTGACCATGAACACAGAGCATGGAACTAACTGTGACTTTCTATTACCATATTCTCTTTCCAGAAAGACTCAGGGGTAGAGGGGGGATTGGTCCCAGTCTACCTTGTCCTCCTGGTCAGGAGGGGTTTCTAATTCTGGCTCTTGGAGGGAGCCCCCGTAGCACTAGGATGCTATTGTTTAAGCAAGTGGTCGTGTGACATTGAAGACACACAGAACATCTTTATTGAGAAACTTGAAGGCATTAAACTTAAACTGGACCACTTTGGGGTTGGTGGAAGAGCAAGCAGAGAACTGGAAAGTAAAACAACAGGAAAAAGTTTGGGGAGAGAGAGAGGGAGAGAAGCAGAGAGAAGTCTTGGCCTCTATCCTCGACAAGCTAATAAATAGTTAATGAATGAGACAAATTCTCMATAATGCTAATCCTAGGAGCCCCAACTCTCCAACCTTATCTCCCTCTTGGCACCATAAACCTCTGGTTCCAGCTACAGGCCTCAGGCAGACCTGGGTGGGAACGACTGTGCCATTATGTGGTGAGCTGTGGGATCACAGCCAGGAGCCAGAGTTCCTCAGCCTGGGGTTCTGCCTGTGGAAGTGAGGCCAATGATGCTGTCTACCTCGCAGGAAGGAGAGGAGTGAGTGAGATAATTTGTGGGAAAGTCAGGAACAGATAATGAAGCAGGAGGCACCATAAGCATTTCATAATTCACATTAGCTAAGAGTTTATAATTATCTGAATCTGCATTATTTTTATGGGCTTCAATCCGGTTGTTGCCATCCATTGCCTCATATCCTGCCCATGCCTTTCTCTTAGGTCAAGGCCACCTCCAGGCAGACCTTTCTGTCTATCTTCACAGCCACCTTTTGGTCCAAACCACCACCATATCTCACCTGAACTAAGGCAAGATGTTCCTCAAAGGATTCACTTATAACTCACAGCTCACCCATCATCCAGAGCAATTGAAAACACAGAGCTGTTACKAGCTGAGAGCTTGGTGGGAAATTCTAGCAGGGAAGCCCAGCTACTGGTGTACCCTTGACTGAGAACAGTCCTCCTCTATCGGGGAAGGGCATCCTATTCGACATAGCTTCAGAGGGTCACATATGGAGCAGAGACAGAGGAAGGGGACACCCTCCTAGCCAGGCAGATCAGCCAAATCAAGCCTGGTGACCAACGGGGTGACAGGTGTTGCAGTCAGATCATCCTCACGTCTAGAAAATGTGGGACATATGCACAATGCAGTTCACTCAGTCACAAAGAGAAATGAAGTCATGGCGTTTGTCGGTAAATTGATGGAACTGGAGAACACCATGCTAAGTGAAATACRCCAGGCTCAGAAAGTCAAGGGTTGAATTATTCTCTCATATGCAGAAGCCAGAGAGGGGAGGGTCAAAGAATGGGGGAGTCTCACAAAACTAGAAGGGGGACCAACAGGGTAGAGGAATAGGATCGGGGGGAGGGGAGGTCATGGGGAAGTGCTGGGAGTGGAGGGTACCAAATTATGTGTGTCCATGTACAGACAGAGCACAGTAAATCCTGCTTGGACATGTATAATTAGAGCTCATTAATTAAAATAATGATGATGATAATAGAAAGGAGATCAGTAGAAAGAGCAAGTGGATCAGGGGAAGGGTGGAGGGAAGGGAAAAGGAAGGTACTGGGGAATGAGATCAACCAGATTATGAAATTATGTAATGCATATGTACAAATATGACATAATGAATCCTRCAATTAGGTA